TTACAATATTGTGTCAAATTCCAGTGTAGAGCACAATTTTTCAGTTATACATGAACATATATATATTCATTGTCACATTTTTTTCGCCATGAGCTACCATTCAGAGATCTTGAAATAACATTGCTGCTCACTACTCCTTCAAAAAGCGAGTTCTTATTAACTAAAACTCGAAAAAGACGTACCATTTTGTTTTTAAAATATTGTAATGAGTGCATTTGAATATTTTTGTCTTTGCAATCATATTTATTTTATTTGTATCTATTGAAACACATTTAAACACTCATAAATCTTACCTGTCTGCCAAAAAGGACAGTAACACAAAAATGATTAAGAATCCTGGAGCTAAAATATTAAGAATGAGTCTAGACTTACTGGACTTCCTGACACTTTCCAGTGCAACATGAGTGAAAAAGCTGCACTCCCATCACACAATGGTTAGATTTATTTCCTGGATTCCTAGTACTGGGGAAATCTGGGTTGCTGTTCTTCTAAGAAAATTCTCTGTACATTAAACCCGGTCTTTGAAATTTTTGACCTTCTGAGCTACTCTTGAGCATAGATTTGCTCCTCCTTGGGAATGCCAGATTTAGCAAATAAAAATAGCCTTTGTACTATATCCACATAGTACTTATGTATGGATTTCAAATAAATAATGAATAATTTTGAGTATAAGTATATATCAAGTCCTGTATGAGTCATACTTAAACTAAAAATTCCTTGTTGTCACTTGAAATTCAGTTTTGACTCAGTGTCATGTATTTTACCTGGCAACCCTAAAAACACCAAAACTGAGCTAATGTCCCCAACTAATTAACTACAGGTGGTTAGAATGTGATTTCTTATACTGTTTACTGATGGAGATTAGTTAACTGCCAAAGGTCTCAGACATTGATTAAATGTGAAGGTATTTTGAAATTTGAAATTTGAAATTTGAAATTTTCATATTATCACCTAATGATCACAAACACCTGTGTTTTCAACTTTGGAACAAGCAGAAATATTACCAGTCCTTAAAGTAAATTGACCACAATCCAAGAATTTTGGTATTAACGGTGTCCCCCCAAGATCCTGTGATACCCAGTTTCTATATCAGAGAAATGTGGTCGAAGTTTAGACTGATAGTGAAACTGAATTTCAAAACCTTTTGACACCCATCCCATTGTTGAATAACTTGGTTCCCATAAAGTGAAAGTCATAATTTCCTTTGTCTGGGATGAGATTCTAATCTTGAAAATGAGGAGCCTAGAAATCACCAAGGGGAAGAATTTTATCCTCATCCAGGTGAATCACACCCAAGCCCATGAATCACCAGTTGATAGAAACCAAATTTATCTTAAACAGAAGAAAAAGTATTCAGCATGAAGCCAGAAAAATAAACCAGGCTGTGATTGGTACGTATATTTACAATGTGATACTCTTTCTATATTCCTATGCCTTCATCTTAGGAAAAAAAATGTTACAAATGTGAGGCAGAAAAGGGCTGATGTGAGTGCTCACAGGTCGTGGGTTCAATGTCTTAGTGAGGGATTTATTTAGTGGGAAATCAATCTAAATGTTGCAAATTATATAACAATGTATTGTAAAAACGTGGTGATCTAGTCTCAAGCAACTTTTTAAGTACAGAGATGGGGGTTTGAGAAAACAAACTTTCCTGCTTGCTTTCTTTTTTTCCTTCTTCTTCTCTTAATGTTCTGACTGTGCCCAGTTTGAAGTTTCATTAAGTAGAATACACAAACGCTTATTTTTCAACAAGTACCATCTGCAGAACCAGATGCCTTCCGTTCCGACTTACTCTGGGCTCCGGGTTCCGACCAGACCAACCCAATGGCTCTGCGTTTTCATCTCTTTATCTGAACGGGGCCGTTGGAGGGGGAGGGCATCTTCTCTGTTTTATATTTGAACGAACCCAGACAAGGAGAGTCAGTAAGATTCCATGAGCTAGTTAAATCTCTTCCCTGAAGAGAAAAGTGGGGGCAGTGCGTTAGGGAGGCTAACGCAATACAATACGCCTTGTTTTTTTTTCTCCCCAGACATAAATTTTCCTGTTTTTCCAGTCATCTTACAACAATGCATGTCCAAGCCACGTTGTGATTAGAGGGGAGAATATGCTTATTACCCGAGTTCGTCACATGTTGGAGCACAGAGAGACCGAGGGTGGTAAACCAGAGGAAATTTCCATTTGCTTTTTAGCTGTTGCACATTCTTACTCTATAGGAAAGTTAGCTGTTATTAAGTAATAACGTTCAGCTGAAGTTGGTCACTCGTAACAACAGACAGATGGATAATGTTTTATTTGGGTTAGCCAGCTCGCTCCCAAAGAAAGGGCCTGAAATTAAACTGTCTTTATAAAAATATTCAGCAAATGATACCTTTCTCCAGAGTTCAGATTCTTCGCCACGGCAAATGGAAAATGAGTCTCCTGGTGAACCCTGTATCTGTTTAAACTTGTCTTTGCCAAGAGAAAGGTTGATGTTCTCCAGAAAGTAAAAAAAAAAATTTTTTTAAGATTCTACATTGAGGAGTAAAGGGTATCACTATGCAAACCGCATTTAGAGGTGGAAAAGGATTTTTTAGTTAGTTATGGAATTTGATACAATAATAATGGAATGGAAACATAGGGGAAAAGGCTAAATATTCGACCACAGAGGCAAATTGGATCATCTGATGCTCACATGCAATGTAAAAATGCGGGATTTGTCTTGGAAGAAGTACTTGTTGCTTTTCCAGTGTATAATAAAGCAAAAGATAGACCTTGCTGGTTCTCTGAGCCATCACTGACAACCTCTAGCCACATAATCCTTTCAGAATTTGGAGGTTCTAATTTAAGACACTCCTGATGCAGCGGCTGGAGTGTGGTACCTGAGAGGGCATTTCTGGTGAACATCGTTCAGCAATTTTGATGCTGTGGTCCTCCCTGTCTCTGCTGCCCTGTCTTCAGGGTCCAGCGAGATACATAGCTCATCTCAAGATATTTCCTGACCACAAAGAGAGAAAGAGACCTGCCCAACAAGTGGACTAAGACTCACAAAGGCTGGTTTCCAGCCCTACTCCTGCCACTGGCTCAGTGACCTTGAGCAAATTACTCAAACTTTCTTGATCCTCTTTTTTCTCCAGATGTAAAGTGCTAGGTTTAAGCCCGATGAGCCCTCCCCGGAGTGCTCCCAGGTGTCGGGTAAATGCCAGATTTACTGAGTTAAGCATGTTTCTCTGCTATAGAACTTCTCAGACCCTGCGATGGGCTAGCGTGCAGTGTGAGTCTCCAGTGGGTGGAGACAGTGGGTTGTTTGGAGGTTCGGTAGGCAAAGCTTCCCCAAATTGCCAGACCACAAATTGCTTTATTTGTGGAACATCTGTAACCACACTGAAGGCTGAGCAAGAGGACTGCTAAAGTTCTTCTGGCTTCAGCTCTCTTGGCTCTAAAATCCAGGGTCTTTCCTCAGGCCTCTGATGTTCTTAGCCAGTGAACCCTGAAATCCACTCTGGGATGATACCCACTGCCCAAAGAAGAATGCTTTTAAACTAATTGCTTTCCTTTGCCCAGAAATTCTCATTTCCTCCCCCTCCCCCACCCCAAGACAGTTCACCTGAACTGCGATTCTCCTGGGACACTCTTCCCAGGTAGCTGGAAACTCACCCAGTGGCTGCCATCTTTGTATATTTAACCCCGTTGACTTGTTCTTCCTTGTCACACCAAGGGGCCCATTCCTTTGTTTGAAAGCAATGAGATTGAACTTTCAGGTAACCCAGTTGGCATGCTTGTGAATTTCCCACACACTCTGTAACTCTAAGTGGTGAACAGCGTGGACGATGCTCTCAGAGTGTGGTCTCAAGACCTGCAGTGTCAGCATCACTTGGGAACTTACTAGAAGTGCAGATTCCTGGGCTCTGTTCTAGACGCACTGAATCAGAGACCCTGGGTGGGGCCACGTGTGTCTCAAGACTTCCAAATATTCTGACACTCACTGACGCTGGAGAACTTGTGTTGTAGAGGTGAGAAGTAAGGACTACAGACTCAAACAGACCTTATGGCACATCAGTTTCCTTACCTGGAATACAGAAATAATAGTAGTAACTCCTTTCGGAATCAAAGTGAGAGTTAAATTAACATACAACACCTCGTATAAGGTCTGATACAGGGTAAGCAATAAATACATTACAGCTATTTATTCCATAGGGGCTACCAACACATAATGAGCAGGAACCTGTTCTATGCTGCATTGCACCACGTCATTGGAAGAGATGCTCCCCATGAGTTAGTTTTGAGGACAGAGGTGCACAGGGATGGGGGCAGACAGATCTGGTTTGCCAGCGAGGTCCTCCGTGTATTAACTTTACAAACATGCATAAGTTACCTAGTCTAAGCTTAGTTTCTTTATTCAGAAAGCCAAGAAGATACTTTCTTCACAAGGTAAAGAGAAGGGTTAAATAAAATACCCTCTGTAATTGCTTTGAAAGGTGCCTGGTCCCTTTTAAGTACCCCATCCCAAATGAAGGTTATCAGTGACAATAATGTCATCGACATTAGCCTGGTGTGTTTGCCATCACAGGTCATGAGGCCACCAGATCCTTAACCAAGGGCTTCTTGCTCCACAGAAATGAAAGTGACAGAATCTGAGGTCCTTAAATCTTGCCCTGCAAAGTTATCATGATAAATGTAAGTATTAATTTAGAAGTAAGTCCATGAGAAGAATTATTCACCTTTTTTATGCTGTCCTGAGGGATCAGGCAAGTCTTTCTTCCCACTGAAATCTTGTTAGATTTGTATTTCTTGTTCTATTTAGGGTTTAGCCATAGACCAACATTTGAAGTTTACATTAAGAGATATTTCAGAACTTTGCAGATTTTCTTTAAATACAGGACCTTTTTTAACTTATTTTTTATTGAAATGTAGTTGATTTAGAATGTCAGTTTCAGTGTACAGCAAAGCAGTATATATATAGAGAGAGAGATAGGTATATATATAACTGTATATATATACACATTTATATTTTTTCAGTTTCTCTTCCATTATGGCACATTACAAGAAGTTGTATATAGTTCCCTGTGCTATACAGTAGGTCCTTGTTGTTTATCTATTTTATATACAGTAATATAAATACAGTACCTTTGAGATCAAGCAGGTAATCCTAACATACAAAAGGATGTAGTAAGACCATCCCTGCAGTCAGACTTTCACTAGGTTTTGCCTCGTAACAAACAATTCCAAGAATTCAACATGGCAACAAGGGTTTTTTTCCTCACCCGTGTTACAAGTCAGCTTTGGCTCAGCTGTAGCTTAGCTCCAAGTGTCTCCCTCCTCCCACCATCCAAGGAAGAAACAGCCCTATCTAGCCTCACCCAAGATCAGTGGCAGAATCGAGCCATTCTCACACCTTTGTCCAGGTGAGGCTTGAGTTACTGCGGCTCACACTTCATTGGCTGAAGCAGTCACATGACCACATCTGACACAAAAGGGTGGAAACATACTCCCCGGCAGGGACAAGCCCAGGGAAGGATTCTTTTGGAGGGATCCAGCAGAGAAGGGGCAGCTAGCAAGTGGAAGCAACAGCCAACCACAACAACCACAAATGACCACGGCTCTACCAACAGGGCTCCAAGTTCATATCTTCAAAACATTAGGAAAGAGGACACTAGGCTGTGAACTGGCCCGACTTGACTGGTGCTTCCCGTCAGAGCCTCTCATTTCTCACGGGGAAGAATATCCCAATCCACAGCCTCCCAGAAGCTGCCCCTCCTTCTAGCCATCCTCAGCCCTCAGTGGCCTGAGACATAACATGGGTTTGCAGACGGAAAGAGTGACTTCTCCAGCAGATAAAACCAAAGGGCCACCCTTCGGAATCCACTGAGAGTCAGCCTTGGCCACCTTGTTCTCCTCCAGTGAACATGGCTGCTTCAGAGGCCGCCTGGACAAAGCCGTCATGTCCTCAGCTGACACTGATGGAGTCAAGAAGTGGATTAAGAACAGGGAACACAGCCGTTGAAGCGAATCCGAGACTGCTATGAAGAGCGAGGTGGAGGATGGCGCAAGGCCAAAGCCAAAGGCCCCGGTGCATGTGCGTGTAGCCCCAGTCACAGGATCCAAAGGAAGGAGAGCTAAGCCTCACTGAGTTTATTTTCCATCATTTTTCAACCTTTTGAGTTCAGTCAACCCCAAATATGTTCTTGTCAAGCACTTTTTTCTACTTAATGTTTAAACCCATGTACCCTTCAAGCGAAATGTCATCCAGGTACTTTGGATTTGCAGCAAAGAGCGAGATCATCAGAAAAACCTGTTTTGTCAGAAGTGTTTGACATCCAAGAAAGCTTTTCAAGCGACTTTTCTTATGAACAGGAGGCTGTTTGGCCAGAGCTTTAAAGTCAGAGTCCCTCGCGTTCTAATTTTAGTCTGGAAGCCCAGAGTTGTGGTTGGATTTGGGTTTCGTTCGTCCAAGCCTCACTGCTCCATTTGAAGGTACGTGGAATGACATCACCTGGGGCCTGGTTGAGAAACTCCAGGTTTGGGGGGCTGCTGCCCCCCACTTTTTAAAATTATTTTTCTATGTGTTAGCCCACCATGGAACACACAAGATTTTCCAAGGACATGCAAACTGAAAACTTCTCAAATTTGACTCAACAGAGCTCTTAAGTTTTTAGAAGTTCTCAGTATTGTATTAACTAGAGGGAAAGAAAATAATCTTAAATCATACATTTTTTTTTTAGTAACCAAGCATCATATGGAAGTCAGCTGGATTATCTCAATGTTGAGAGTTAGATACCCTGTAAACACAGGTTGGCTAGTAAAAGTGGGTAAAAGTCTATTGTGAAACTAAGGATTCGTCTGTGCTTAATTTTGGCTAATATTTCCATTAGAATTATTTATATTATTTTATAATATAGACTTAGTATCACATAAATAACGTATCATAATATCTATATATTTACTGTGAATGTTATATAACATAAATTTTATAATATATAATGTTTACATATCTTATAACATAATATTTCTATGACATTTATATAATACATATAAATAATATGTTACAGTTTTGATCTGATTCACCCTATATTGCTGCTTTAAAAAGTTAATGCTTATTGTATATTGACTGAAACATTATGCTGTAGATCAGAAGCTGATACAGCATTGTAAACTGACTATATTTCAATTGAAAAAAAGAAAAAAAATTGAAAAAAAGAATGAGTAGATCTATCAGTGGAGATATCTGTAGTCTTAGCTCCTCATCTAAAGCTTTAATGTTTGCACATAAGTGCAAACATGGACACAATCTTTTATTGTTAAGATTTCATAAAGTATTTTTCAGTGAGTCTCCATTAAACCAATTCATTTTTGATAAATATTACAGCAGGTAATTAAATACTTTGTATCTACTGAAGAAAAATTAGTACTTAGTCTTCGGCCACTGTGTCATTGGCAGTCATTTACCTAGAAGGATGGTGGAGACCAGATGTTTCTGAAAAGTAATACACAGATGTTCTCCATGTCTACTTGCAACAGTGTTATTTTCCAATGCCAAGGGGAGGTGAGAGAACAGGACGTTCATCAAGCTAGAACAGCTGCTAAGCTGCTGATATGATCCGACATCAGCATCACAGCGTGGTGGTTCTCAGTGTGTGTTCCTGGCGCAGGGGCATCACCTGGGAACTTTCTGGACATGCACATTCTTGGGCTCCACCCCCAACCTACTGAATCAGACACTCCAAGCCTTCCAGGTGGTTCTGACGCAGCTTGAGTCTGAGCATCTTTGTCAGGGCAGTGGAGGGCGTGGGCACGGGTGTTCTCGGGGACACGACTGCCACGCGCCCACTGCTGAGAACGTGGGTGGGTCATGTCACCTCTCTGTGGCTCCGTTTCCTCCTCACGGGGACGATGCTGAGCTGATGGCACTGGTCTCTCAGGGCTGGCGGGAGAGCTGATGGCGTTCACACGTGGAAAGCACGTGGAAGACTGGCTGGTGCGCGGTGCCCTCGGGCTGCCTGTGTGTGGTGATGAAGATTGTCACTGGTGACCTGAAGCTTCATGATTCTTCTCACTGATCCGAATCTGTTTTCTTACTGTCATTGTTATTTATTCGGATCCGTCCCGCTTCGGAGCATTTCTGGCTCTATCCTGACTCTGTTCTTGCCTATGATTTGCACGTGGATTTCTCCTAACTGGCCAGGGGCTCTCTGGCCACTGTGGGCTGATTCCCTCTGACAAGGCAGTGCGCTCCAGCTCGCAGCGGCTGATTTCTCTGACCTCCGTTCTCCTTTCTTGGACAGAACTTCTCCCCCCTGAGGATGGTGATGGGAACTCCCTTTCCATTCCTTTTCTGCTTTCATTGTTTTATCCCCAGCACGGGCGGTGTGGTTCTTCATACAGACAAGTGTCTATTTCAGTGTGCCTACTGTTTAGTTCTGTTTCCAGAGTGTGTTTATGTCTGTGTTCCCTTTATCTCCAGAAAACAAATGTTGCGTGGCATAAGCGCTAAGTGACTTCATGTCACGTGTATGTTATTGGCTTGAAACAGGAGAGAGTAACGTTGACCTCTCCAGGCAATAGTTTCAGGGACTTCACTTCAATAAGGATATCGCCATTCTGAGAATTACAGTCCCAACCCACATGTAGGAATCACATAATGAAAACTGGAGAAATAAACACAGTTTCCAGAGACAAAAGAAAACTACTAATGGCTCATATGGAATATTGCTCATTTGCAGGATTAAGAGAGGGAAAATGAGAAGAAAATATCTTTTATTCTTCTTTCCACCCTTCACTTTTGGGAAACTGTTCTTGTCCCTTAATATTTCAGAAGTAAATCCCAGTGGTTTGCAGAATCTAAGGGAAAAAATCTCAAGCAGTAACACAAAGTCATATGAAGTGAAGAAGTCTGCTGAGGAATGAAACGCTATAAATTAACAGCATACAATGAAGTGTAAGTGATAAAATGGGTGCAAAGAAGGAGATTAAGGGTCTTGATACAGCGATGACGTAGAGGTCATTTGCCAAACATACTGGGAGAATCTAGTAAATAAGACGTTATACGAGTTGATAATCAAGACAACTTAAATGATAAAAGAGAATTGTTGTAATTATTTACAATATTGGTGGATCAGAAGAGAAGTGTGGATGAATGTATGCTTCTGTGTGTAAGACAGATAAAAATGTGGGGAGATAGATAAAATAGATGGATAGATGGATGGATGGATAGATAGATAGATAGATAGATAGATAGATAGATAGATAGATAGATAGGTAGGTAGAGAGAGTGACAGAGTTTAGGAAGGAGTATTTCAGAAAAGTAGGATGCAAAAGAACCTACTGGATTTAGAACAGATTGCATTAAACTCTGGAGGTTTAGAAGGGGTTTGCGGTGTACTGACAAGAACGCTGGTCTAGCTTCCAAAGACTTTGGACCTCTCTCCTGCTCCCATGGACCCTCTGGGTGACGGAGACAAGTCACTGCAACCTCCCAGGTCTCCTCGTTTGAAAAATGTGCGTCAGATGCCTTGGATTTGACGGTCTTTTCAACTCTAATGGTCTCTGACTCAACAGTAATAATGCATTTCCACAGGCGGTAAAAATATTCTAGACTCTTCCCTCCCGGTGCTCACTGTTTACTTCCCCTGAACTTCCTCTTCCTGCCTCCTTGATTGCCGGTCAGTTGATAGTGGGCCTCAGTGGGGGTGAGTTAACCCACTCTTTCCAAGGTGTTTCACTACTGAGCTCCGTCCAGAGGGTGGGAATTCCACAGGGAAGGCTGTGGCTGGGGCTTCAACCTCATTCCTGAAACAGCCTCTGAGCCTTTTCCTCCTCTGGGCACCAGGCCAGATTGCAGGGACTGGAGGGGAAAGCCGGGGCCCCAGCCCCTGGGGGAATCAGTCGGGGTCACTTCACTGGGTCAGTTTCTTAGTCAACACCTGTGAACTCCACGTGTCCCTCTCTCTTTCAGGCAGTAGCAGAGTCCCAGGGTAGCCAGGCGGGTGAAGGGGAGCGAGGACGGCCCACTTGCCTTGAAGAAGACGCCACCTGACCTGCTGAGTGAGTAACCAGGTCGTTCACAGCTCTGGGGGCACAGGGTGTTGAGAGGGAGGGAGTAGGCGCCTACCCTTCGAGTGCCGTCTGCCAGTAGCTCTTTCCGCAGAGAGGTGCTCATCCCAAGGCCCCCGCCCCCCGTGAGAGGCTCTGGGTCTTGTTCCTCCACTTTCGACCGCCATCTTCGATAGCCATTGGCGTCCTTGACGCCAACACTAGATGCGCAGAAATGCTGCACAAGAGCTCTCAGCAGAAACAGGGAAGAGATCCAGCTCACCCCGAACCTGGCTTGTTGCCTCTTTGAAAGAGGTTGAAGCAGAAGCGTCACTGCACTGCCTTCATGTAAGTAGAGCCAAGCTTTCCAGAACCTGGCGGAAGGCTGAGCCTGGAGCTTTGCTGGTGCCGCAGGACACTCGTGCATCATTCACATACAAAAACTTAATCCTGTTTTTGTTTCCATGGATTGAATGGCATGCACTTTCCCCTGGCAGTTTCTTTCCTTTTTTTTTTTTCTTAAGTGCATGCAATTACTTGTCCATAAGCTGCATTTGACGTCGGCAGTGCCCGTGTTCTGAGCTTGACTACGCACTTGGGCTTTTGTTTCCAAACTTTCATCATGGTTGCTTTCCTCCCGGTTACTAAGAAGTCCTGCCGAGGGTCTGACAAAGCCCACGCTAAATTATATCCTGTACTTTTCTTCTAAATGGATCCCCAAATAAATGAAATAGGCTTCAGCAAGTAAAATGAATTCCAAATAACTGATGGCCCTTCTTTGTGATGAAAATGAAAAAGTGACTCTCCTCTCTAGGGGAAAAAAAATCATTTCAAGGGGAGGTCAGTAAATGACACATTCTTACTAACGTAAGAGGAAAATGAAAAAGCCCAACAGATCCGCTGCACTGTCAAGAAATCGTCAGCCTCTAACGGATACAGTTTCAGATTCCTAGAAGGGATTTGCCCGGAGGATTATGTTCAAAACTTCTACTGAGATAACACTGCTCTAAAGGCAAAGATTATTGCATGAATCACAGACCACTTTCTACCAGTTCCTTTGTAAAGGAGGGAATGTCTTTTATTATTATTCTTAAAAATACCAGTGAGGTGGAAAAAAACACACCAACCAGGTTGAGTTACCCTGTAATCACTCACATTATCTTTTTCAAGGAATGTAGGGGTTATTTGAGCTCAGTCATCAGGCAGGCACTATAAGATGCTGCGTGGCCTGACCCCAGCCTGCTCCTGACTGTTCAGGCAGGCAGAGCCCTCTCTGGGGCTCAGCGTGGGAGCCGAGCGCTGCTTCTAGGTAGGTCTGTTCCGCTACAATGTCAGATGCCTGTTTTTACTTACTTGTTCATTAGCTCTTTAAAATAGATTCCTATGCTGGTTCGACTTAGCTCAAAAGAAGTAAGGCAGAATTTTTTTGCCATCCCTAAATGTCACACCTAATATTGTATACTGATAACACTTTTCCAAGAATAACCAGCCTATCAATCAAGCCATTAACAAAGCTTAATTAGTCACTCTGTTTGGGGGTGTTTGATAACTTAATCTTTTCCACTGTAATCAAGAACTAGGAAAGGTCATGGACTCCAAATTATTCATTGGATTAGGGAAAATAATGAATTGCTAATACAGGAAACATCTTGCAAAAGGGTGGCTTTTAAAAAATTTTTACTATTACTATCCAAGATTTTAAAATTTGTGTTAACGTTCTCCATTGCTGTGTCAAGAATTATCTTATGGATGGCACTCTTTAGTTTCATCAGTCCTGGCCCTAGGCTCAGTCAACTTATTCTTAAATTTTCTGTAGCTGGAAATCCATGACAGCTGAACATATAGAAATATTCCTAGTACCCTGTGGGGTAAATGCCTGTGAGTGTGATACCACAAAGAGAAGATTAGCATCATTTTTTTGAGCAGGAAGCTCTGTTTTGACACTTTGTGGCCATTATCTCATTTAACCATCACAAAACCCCTGAAAAGTGAGCTTTATTCCCATTTTAAAGATTAGGGAGCTGAGGTCCAGAGAGGTTAAATAGATGGCCCTGGGTCACACAGCAGATAAGTTGTGGAGTCAGCGTTTAACCCAGGTTTGCTTGTCTCCAGAGTCTCTGTTCTTTATGCCACCCTACTGCCTTCCCCGAGAACACGTTGATTAGTATTGCCTTCAGAATTCTTCTTTCTTGTGAATGTCCATGTGCATTCATACTTATTTCACATGAGTATCCTGTTTCTATTTTCTGGACTTTCTACCACCCAAAGTAGTAATGGAAAGTCTTTGTCTGTCATTTCCTTAGGTGGTCCCAGGAGTCCGACAATGGAAGCCATAAATGTTGGCATGTCCAGTCCTCCCCTGGTGAAGCCCACGATGGGAGCTGGCCTCAAGACCAGCAGACCCCGAGTCATGTCCAAGAGTGGACACAGCAACGTGCGAATTGACAAAGTGGATGGCATATACTTGCTCTACCTCCAAGACCTGTGGACCACTGTCATTGACATGAAGTGGAGATACAAGCTCACCCTGTTTGCTGCCACGTTCGTGATGACCTGGTTCCTTTTTGGAGTGATCTACTATGCCATCGCCTTCATTCATGGGGACCTAGAGCCCAGTGGGCACTCTTCAAACCACACCCCCTGCATCATGAAAGTGGACTCCCTCACGGGGGCGTTCCTCTTTTCCCTGGAATCCCAGACGACCATCGGCTACGGCGTCCGCTCCATCACAGAGGAATGCCCTCACGCCATCTTCCTGCTGGTGGCTCAGCTGGTCATCACGACCTTGATTGAGATCTTCATCACGGGAACCTTCCTGGCCAAAATCGCGAGACCCAAGAAGCGGGCGGAGACCATCAAGTTCAGCCACTGTGCTGTCATCACCAAGCACAATGGGAAGCTGTGCTTGGTGATCCAGGTGGCCAACATGAGGAAGAGCCTCCTGATTCAGTGCCAGCTCTCGGGCAAGCTCCTGCAGACCCACGTCACCAAGGAGGGCGAGCGGATCCTCCTCAACCAGGCCACTGTCAAATTCCATGTGGACTCCTCTTCCGAGAGCCCCTTCCTCATCTTGCCCATGACCTTCTACCATGTGCTGGATGAGACCAGCCCCCTGAGGGACCTCACCCCCCAGAACCTCAAGGAGAAGGAGTTTGAGCTCGTGGTCCTCCTCAACGCCACCGTGGAGTCCACCAGCGCCGTCTGCCAGAGCCGCACGTCTTACATCCCGGAGGAGATCTACTGGGGCTTTGAGTTTGTGCCTGTGGTTTCTCTCTCCAAAAACGGCAAGTACGTGGCTGACTTCAGTCAGTTTGAACAGATCCGTAAGAGCTCAAATTGCATCTCTTACTGTGCAGATTCTGAGAAGCAGAAACTTGAGGAGAAGTACAGGCAGGAAGATCAGAGGGAAAGGGAACTAAGGACTCTTTTGCTGCAGCAGAGCAACGTCTGATGGCAGTGATGTCCCCTCGGCTTAACTCCGGGCTGCGTCCATGTCTGGGCTCCCTGCAAAAGCAAAAGTCACCTCAAAAAGGAAAATGTGTGGACACGCCCTGAAAAACTGTGCAGACGTACAGACCTTTTCCTTCGATCTGGAGGCAAAACAAGCATTTCCACGTCTGAGAGGGTTCCTTTCTTTTTAACGCTTTGTCTGAAACCAACTCCCCAAATTCAAATTTTCTAAAATGGGGCTGCCTCCCAAACAACTCAGTGGAAGGCAATTGCAACAATGTCCTGCTGGGTGGATAGAACTTTCTCAAGGCTGATATGGAAAGGAAAGGCATTTCTATGTAAAGTACAAGGTATTTATTCATTCTAAGTATCAAAGATGTTCCAGCCGAGAGGTGCAATGTGGTTCAGTATCCACTTATACCTTTGTTTCAAAACAAACCCTTTTTTTTCAAGCAGCGAAAATGTGATTTATAATGGAGGCTATCTGATAATACATACAAAGGGGCAGACGGACTCTGCACCCACAACATATAATAATTCCATTTTTACCTTTTTCAGTGACTTTAATTACACGGAGTGAAATTGATTGAATCAAGAGTTAACAGTTGTGAAAACACGTGCAAGTGGAGCTGATATGATGACTCACACTCATGCTTTTGTTGGAATATACTAGACTCTTCCTTTTCAAACTGTGGTTTGCAGACCAGCAGCATCAGCACCATTCAGGAGTTTATTAGGCACTTAGCCCTACCCGGACTTGGAGAATCAGGCTCTGCATCTTAACAAGACCCCCAAGTGATTCATGTAAAAATGGAAGTTTGAAAAGCTCTACTCTGGACAATGTTTTCAAAGTAACTTTCTGAAGCCAGGGGACTCTGGACGGACCTGTCCTTTCTCCAGTTCGTTATCATAGGTCAATATTCCTTTCAGCCATTCATTCTTTATCCATTAGAATACTTTGTCCACAAAGGAGCTGCCATAGACATTCCAAGAGCAAAATAATGCTCTTGGGAGTAATGATTGTCCCTCTCATGCTAAGTACATGTTTGTTGATTACAGTTAGCAGGAGAGAAAAATTAAGCTACATAACAGTCAGAAATTTGCTCATATGTGAAAGCTCGTATGGTTGGTCAGGGCCATGAGGAACAAGAGGAGCTGAGGATAAGGAATTGAAACGCAGAGGACTCTTTGAAGCATGAACAAAATTTGATAATCTGATATGTAAAAGATGCCCTCAGTATTTAAATAAATCTCTTACAACTCCGTGTTACAGAGCTAACATTTTGCCTTTGGTTGAATTTAGGGGCCAGACACCCAGCATTTCTTTGGGAAAGAGAAATGGGATGATGGATTGGCTAAAGGTGCAAAAGATGAGTTTTCATTTCATTCAAACCAGGACAGATTTGTGTATTCACTCCAGAAGAACGTGAAGTAAGTGCGTAGGCACCACACAGAGGTACCCGTGAGCCCACAGATGTGTACCTACAGACCTGCACACAAACCCCCACACAGAGGGATGCACGCCCTGGCTCTTCAACCTGAATGATGGAAACATCCATGAAGGCCTTTGTGATTAACAGAGCGAGTCCTCAACAAGTTTGCTTACTATATTTCGTTCTACAAGAACCAGAATACCGGGACTCAGAGAAGAAGGGGCAAGGAATCTGGATTCCGATTATCAGTGAAATGATGCTCTGCATTACAGCAAATCTGGTCACATCATGATGTTAACACATTTTCAAGTGTCCTTCCACTAACAGAAAATGTGGCTAAGACCTCTGACCTGGTACTGAACATTTAATGCAGGTGTAAGAATAATGGGGGTGAAGTTGTAAAGGTTTAAAGAAACAATCTCAATGCGCAAGAGGTTGTTATCTTTAATTATTCAGGAAGGTTTTTATTTTCTATTGATGATTTTATGGCAGATTGTTTTAGATCTTCATTCTCTTAAAAAATCAAATTAGTGTAGTTAGATATTAGTTCTTTTAGTTATTAAACCTTTTTTTTATTGTGTAATATGATAGGAAAACAATGCCACAGGCATGTTTACAGTTTTTCTGTTGCACTATTAAATTTTTTTTCACAGTATTTAGAGGTGTGCTGATTCGACTGTGATCAAGATTAGGAATCTTGCATTCTTGTATATCGTGCAATGACGTAGCATAAGATGAGAAATCTTTTTGTGTGTTGA